AAAAAGATTAACCCAGTAACTTTGTTTAGGTAAGTCTTTTTCTGCAAGCGTCTGAGAAAACGAGCGCGTCTGATTTTGCTCCCTTGGTGACGTTGCAAAGGGATCTCATTATAATATTAACTTAATCTGTAAGTTTCCACCCATGGCGCCGTCATTGTGTTTTCACAAGCGACAATGGTGTACCAGTTCTAATGCCACGGCGAAAGTTTGAGCAAAACATGCAAGCTGTTCTGCCTTTGTCTGCACAGACGAGCACCGAACACTGTTTAGATCTAAAATAAACATGCGATTTATTTCCCAGCAGTTTATCTTCACAGACATAACCGACTGTTTTTGTAACTCGTGTGTTTTTAACGTAAACTTGTGTGTGAATGAACCATAACTCACATGCTGTGTGGTGGCAGCTTTCTGTCCATGTGCTTCATGTGTGTGCACTCAGAAAACGTATATCAGAAGTTTAAACTCATATGGTTTAAACCGCATGATTTTAGCGCGATAAACATGATGATCAGAACCAAAACAGATGTTTTTAGCAGATACGAGCTGTAATGGCGCAGCTCTATTCTGGAAAAGGGGGCGGGGAGCAGCAGCTCATTTGCATTTAAAGAGACCGGCCCGAAAAACAGCGTGTTTCTGCTTCTACTCAAAATAGGCATATTCAAAATTATATAATAAATGATCTGTGGAGTATTTTGAGCTGAAACTTCACAGACACATTCTGGGGACGCCAGAGACTTACAGTATATTACATATTGTAAAAAGGGGCATAATATGTCTCCTTTAACATCTTTACTATTAAACCAAGTCTTGCAGTAAGTTATAAAGTGAATCTGTGATAGCGGTACCTTAGAGTGAAGTCGCACCCAGCGGCTGTATAGGGCGTGCTTACAGAGACGTGAGGCTCTGCCCATGTCATCCTTGCCTGTGGTGGCGTTAATGACTTCTAGAGCCTGATCTCCCACTGTCCAGTTCACACTGAAGTTAGGAGCCTTTCCCGGCTGCCGGGCCTCAGCGTTACTGATTCCTGCAAACACACAAATAGACTAATCATAGTCGAAAATCACACCCAGAAATGGCCTTGGTGCATTTTCTTTTCTGTACTAATAAAAACATCCAGACTTGATGTAAAGACATTTCTTGAACAATTAAGATGAAATTTGTTTCTGTTTTTAGTGAAAGAACACAGATAAAACAATGTGCTCAAGGTTGTTTATTCGGTAAACGTGTTAGCTTTAGGATTCCCACACTATTCCCACACACAATATTGTTTAATACATTTAAACAATCATACTTGTGAGCGTAAAGGTGTCTCCAATAAGACCCTCAGCAGTAAGTCTGATGACATTGCACATGAACTCAAAAAGAGCAATTAAAAATGTACATACTAAACCAGAAAAACAAAGCAGAAACTACTACATTTATATTAACTGAATGACTACTTGGAAAAACCCTGTAGCAATGGAAATTAATTGAAAAACACTTGAAGGCTGCATGCCATTATTATATAAATCTTTTACTCATTCATATTTATATTCTTAATAAGTTCATATTAATATTAAAATCTATTAAATAATAATATTATGTAATATTTCAAGAATATTTCCGTAAAGAATAAATGGCTCATTGCACTATGCATTACAGAGCAAGACGACAGGAACAAAACGTTCCTTTGAGCTCGGGTCGAGTATGCTATGCCTCAACCTCCCACAACACCTCATCAAATGGAGATTTTCAGCAGTGAGCCATTAAAAGCTAGTTCTGCTGGGAATCTGATGTAACCCAGTGCAAAAGCAGTGTTGGGTGTTTCTCTTGAGGCACAAAACAAGGTGAGAAAGGATATGTACTCAATTCATCGTATATACATCTCCAAAAGCAGCCAACGTCTCCCTGATGACAAGCGAGTCTTTAATATTAGAGTGTTTTGTTAGTTTTGTTAGAGTTAGGCAAACTACTAGTAGTTTTTCTAACTACTTTAAAATACAATTAATACTCAGTAATATTATCCAGCTGACTGCATAAATTATGAATTCTGCAGCACTGACCATTATTGAAATGAACTGAATCAACATTGAACGGACTTTAACTGAATTAAGGGCTGGGTATCGTTAAAAAATGTTTGATATCGATACCGATACCTTGACTTCGATACCGGTTCCTGAACGATACTTTTTTCGATACCAATTTTATTAAATCCATTTTAACAACATTATCTCAAAAAAACTTTGGTTTTATTTTTTCAGCTTATGTTTTTACAGACTCATCTCCTGAGCCACTGCACAGGAACAAAAGAGCACAAAGGAACAAAATGTAACCAACACAGTAAATCAGTTTTAATAAAGTTCAAATAGTTTTCAGTTTCCACATATTTTAGGCTATGCTTTCACTAGTGCATTTCATTTTAAAACGCATAGCTTAGACAGAATCATCATTTCTATTAATTTTCCACTGATTTACTGATGAGCATTAGCTGCTTCCAGCGCGGTCTGTTTTCTCTTCCGTGATCGCTGTTCTGACTCAGAGGAAGCTCATTTGCTGCTCAACTGTCAATCATATTACGCGTTCATAACCCGCCCTGTCTACACTTTAGACTTCCGCATTCAGTTCTGTACATAAGAAACCCAGAAAAACATTTCCACGGATAAAACATGAAGCTAATAACACACGATTACGACAGAATGTGATTTGTATGTGATTTTCACGAGTTTCTGCCTATTTTCATAATACAGGTTGTTTACATGAGAAATGCAAAGCAGGTGTAGCGATCAGCTTAATATAAAAGGCTACAAATAACATTTCAGCAACATTATATGACCAAACCCCTCATTAGATCGCAATTGGAAGTTATTACAAACACTCGATGGTGGTTTAAAGTCAGTTCTGAGTAAAAGCGTAGTATAAATCTTATGAATTGTCTTGTGTAGCGTGATGCTACAGTGTGCATGAATGGTCACGTAACATGTGTTTTTGGTCGTGTAGTGTGGACGGAGATCTTTTCTGAAACGCAGTGGAAACGGCAATATGGACGAGGATCATTTATTTTAAAATGCCGTTTTAAAATGAAAACACACTACTGTAGTGTAAACGTAGCCTTACATCTTTGGGGGTCTTACACAGTGTTGGGAGTAATATATTACAAGCAACGCAAGTTACGTAATCAGATTACTTTTTCCAAGTAACTAGTAAAGAAAGCATTACTTTTTAATTTACAAGAGAATATCTGAGTTACTTTTTCAAATAAGTAATGCAAGTTACTTTTTTTTTTTTCAATTTATTGATTGACAGCTCTCCTGTCCCCATGTTGAGAGAAATCAGAAGATGTTACTGTAGTTCAAAATAAATATGAATATACATGAATTAATCTCTCACGCAAAAAAAAAAAGATTCAGACAGATTGACAGATTCAGTATTCCTCAAAATGAATAAAAATAATGCAAATCAGAATATGACGCAAACCTGCAATAATTAAATGTTAAACCACACAAATATCCTTTATGTATTTAATCCCATTCTATTAACCAATGTCTTTGCTTCTGACCTTCGATGATCCAGTTCAACCATACTAATAAGCAAAAATGACTCTAGACAAATATGTGTGTTTTTTTTTTATTGCTGAAGTGTGTTGAAATGTATTCTTCTGCATTCTACTGTACGGACGTAAATTTACTTTCCCTTCAGCCTGAGGCTTATTCATTTCACTTTTGGTGTGAAAAGGCTTTTATATTTGCCAAAAATATAACTTTTTTTATTTTAAAATCAAACAAGCAAGCCCTGTCCAGATTTAAAAAGTAATGCTAAAGTAACGTAACGCATTGCTTTCCATCAAAAGTAACGTAAACAGTTACTTTTTTATGGAGTAACGCAACATTGTAATGCATTACTTTTCAGAATCAGAATCAGAAAGAGCTTTATTGCCAAGTATGTTTGCACATACAAGGAATTTGTTATAGTGTCACAAGCTTCCAGTACACGGAGACAACAACAACAACACAGATAATAAAAATGAGATGTGAATAAAATACACATGCATAAATATAAACCACAAAAAAGAATAAATTGTATGTACAGGTGTGCTATAGATGGAATAGGAATAGAATAAATTTAAATAAGTTGTAGGGATGTACTAGGGTTTAGGGTGATAAATAAGTATAAGGTTATTGCACATACTGTACTTTAATTGCACAATGGGAGAACATTAACTGTTCATGAGGTAGATTGCCTGGGGAGAGAAACTGTTCTTGTGCCTGGCTGTCCTGGTATTCGGTGCTCAATAATCCTTTCAGCAGTCCGAACCGTTCTCTGTAGTCTTCTGATGTCTGATTTTGTAGCTGAACCAAACCAGACAGTTATTGAAGTGCACAGAACAGACTCGATGACGGCTGAGTAGAACTGTTTCAGCAGCTCCTGTGGCAGGTTGAATTTCCTCAGCTGGCGAAGGAAGTACAACCTCTGCTGGGCCTTTTTAACAATGGAGTCAATGTGAGTGTCCCACTTCAGGTCCTGAGAGATGGTGGTGCCCAGGAACCTGAATGACTCCACTGTCGTTACAGTGCTATCCATGATGGTGAGTGGGGGGAGTGCAGGGGGGTTCCTCCTGAAGTCCATGATCATCTCCACTGTTTTGAGGGTGTTCAGCTCCAAGTTGTTAAGACTGCACCAGACAGCCAGCTCTTTAACCTCCTGTCTGTAAGCAGACTCGTCTCCATCCTTGATGAGACCGATGACTGTAGTGTCATCTGCATACTTCAGGAGCTTGACAGAGGGGTCTTTAGAGGTGCAGTCGTTGGTGTAGAGGGAGAAGAGCAGTGGGGAGAGGACGCAACCTTGAGGGGTGCCAGTGCTGGTGGTGCGGTTGTTGTATGTGAATTTACCAATTCTCACTAGCTGTTGCCTATCTGTCAGAAAGCTGGTGATCCATTGACAGATAGAGCTAGGGACAGAGAGCTGGGTTAGTTTGGTCTGGAGGAGTGTTGGGATGATGGTGTTGAAAGCGGAGCTAAAGTCCACAAACAGGATCCTCACATAAGTCCCTGTTTTGTCCAGATGTTGCAGGATGAAGTGCAGTCCCATATTGACTGCATCATCCACGGACCTGTTTGCTCGGTAAGCAAACTGCAGGGGGTCTAGTAAGGGTCCAGTAATGTCCTTCAGATAAGCCAACACCAACCTCTCAAATGTCTTCATGACCACAGACGTTAGGGCCACAGGTCTGTAGTCATTAAGTCCTGTTATCTTGGGTTTCTTTGGGACGGGGATGATGGTGGAGCGTTTGAAGCAGGCAGGGACTTTGCACAGCTTCAGTGATCTGTTGAAGATCTGTGAGAAGATGGGGGCAGCTGGTCAGCGCAGGTTTTCAGACAGGCTGGTGTCACACCGTCTGGGCCTGGTGCTTTTCTTCTCTTGTTCTTCCTGAAGACCTGGCGCACATCATCCTCACTGATCTGAAACGTAGGAGTGGGGGAGAGGGGGGTTGCAGGAGGTGTTGATGGTTGTGTGGAGAGATGTTCAGAGCGGGTGTGGGGTGTTAGACTGGGAGTTTCAAATCTACAGAAACTCATTCAGGTCTTCAGCAAGTTGTTGATTGGCCTCAGTGCTGGGGGATGGTGTCTTGTAGTTGGTGATGTCCTTCAGGCCTTTCCACACTGATGCAGGCTCATTCGCAGAAAACTGGTGTTCTAGTTTTTT